CTCACTGCTGCTCCACCCTGCTCAGTTTCAGCACAGGGTAAAGTCTTGCACCTTTGTTGCTCTTCCTCTCCCCATTCCACTGTCTGTCATCAGCCTGTCCTGTAGCAAGGAAAAGACTGCATTTCCATGGCAGCTTTCACAGCCACAGGACATCTCAAAAGATGTCAGAGCCAATGAAGTATTTTGGGAGTGTTCTGTAACACACTATAGCCACAAAGTACAGACCACAATCTCAAAAATAACAAGGTGATATGAGGAGATAGAGCCTGGTTCAACTCTTGCTCTCTCTCTCTGTCATTCCTAACTAGTTTCTTTCTTGCTCAGTCTCTGTCTCTCTGTCAATCTATCAGCCTCTCTCTGTCTTTCTCCATTAGTCTTTTGGAAACATACAAGTTCAGACCTTCGAGCCACTCCACCCTTCAATAAGATCATGGCTGATCTGTATGTCACCTCAATCCCACATTCTGACATTGCCCTGGTAACATTTTATCCCCTGCTTTACAGGAATGTTTCTATCTCTGCCTTCGTCGTGTTCACAGTGCGATCAGCTGAATGGCCTTTTCTTGTGCTGTAAACACTGCTGAGTCTGTGTGCTTCCCTCATCTTTTCAGCAAGTGATCCAAAAATTCACCACCCTCTGAAGGAAAAGAAAATCGTCTTCTAGTTTAAATGTGCAAACACCAATTTGTAATCCAAGACCCTTTAGCCCTAAAGAAACCAAGAGAATAAGAGAAACATCCTTGTCACATCCACCCTGTCAAAATTGTATGTTTCAATCAAGTTACCTCTTACTCTTCTCACCTCCAGGGGATACAAGCGCAGCCTGTCTGCTCTTTCCTCATGAGACAACTCATCCATTCCAGGTCTCAGTTTGGTCAAACTTCTCTGAGCTGTGTCTAAGACATTCACATCCTTCCTCATGTCAGGAGACCACTACCTTGTACAGTACTCCAGATGTGGTCTCACCAGTGCTCTGTATAACTGAGGCATCAGCTCCAACTTTCCAATTCAATTCCCCTTGTTATAAATAACATTTATGAGCTTTCCTAATTACTTGCCGCACCTTCGGACTGACATTTTACAATATATGCACACAATCACCCAGCTCCTTCAGCATCTCAGATCTCTACAATTTATTCTTCCTGCCAAAACAGGTGATTTCACACTATCTAATGCGATCATCTCCAAATCAAGGGAGTTTTGGAAAATTAAAACTAACACATCAACTATCTCACCAGCCACTTCTTTTAAGACTCTAAATACAGTCAATCACGATCCTGGCCCAGACAGGCCAAAGCTCCAAACATTTACTCAGTACAATTTCTCTGCTAATTGTAATTTCCTGAGACCCTCCCTCTTTCCCACTTCCTGATTTCTCACTGTTTCGGGGATGTTACTTGTATCCTCTACAGTGATGACTAATGTAAATATCTGTTCAATTCATCTGCCATTTCTTTATTTTCCCTTACTAATGTTCGAGTCTCACTTTCTGTGTGACCAATGTTCACCTACTTTGCTCTTTTAACAAATTTATAGAAACTCTTAATTTCTGTTTTTTTTCCCTCTTGTACTCAAATTTTTCCTTCACTAATTTTTTGGACATATGTTGTGTTTTCATATTCTGTCTAATGTTCTGACCTGCCAGCTGTTGTTATACAATGACATGTTTTATTCTGTTAGTTTGATACTATCTTTGTCATTTCTAGTTACACCATAGATGATGTTGGATTGTATTTATTCTAAGAGTTCTGAAATTTTTTCTTAAATATTGACCTATCCTTTAACCTCATTTACCAGTTAATTTTAGCAAGGTCTGCTTTCATGCCCTCACAATTGCCCTTGCTTAAGTTTAAAAGAATAGTCTCAGACCCACTCCTGTCACATTGAGATCATTCATTAATTCTATTTCATTCCTAACATCAGGTCTAGTACAGCCTGTTCACTGCTCAGCTCCAGAACGTCTTGTTCCAAGGAACCATCCTGAAATATTCTCCTCATCTACGATATCTTTGCCCATGTGACTTCACAAGTTCAGATGTCAATTTAAATTTCCCACGATTATCACTGTGTCTTTTCTCAAAAGCACTTATCATTTCTTCCTTCATCCTCCACCCTCAGTGTGGGATTTGCACAACACTCCCCCGAGTAACTTCTGCGTTCAATCCTTATTCCCATATAAACTGAGTCCACATCACTCCTTGGCTGATTGCAACAAAGAATGGAAGTTCTCAACTTCACCATGAAGCAATGCAGGATATTCTGAAATTGTGAAAGACACCATATTGAAGGCAAGTTCTTTCCCAACTTCATGATGCTATCTGTAAGACACTGGGAGAAATCATGATTCTGTCTGCAGAATCAAAATGTCTGCAGCTGAATGGATATTACATAAATTAAAATGCAGTGTGCGTGTGTGCGTGTGTGTGTAAGTGTGTCAAGTGAGGGAGGGGAAGCCAGGAAGGAGTAAAAGACTGGGCACGTGTGGAAAACCAATGGACAGAAAGTTCTCGAAAGAGTAGGGGCTAGTCACCAAAATGGTAAGCACCCTGGGGCTTGATGAACTGATTGGAGGAAGCTGACGGGGGTGGGAGTGAATGGAAAACTGTGAGAATGCGAGCCCTGGGCAGGCAGTTCAGCAAATTCAGGTTGTGCACACAGTTGGAAGCAGTGCAGAATGACTGCTTGTATAGTGTTCAATGTTCGACCAGCAAAGTTTAAAATTAACCTTTCCCGGTGGCCTTGTGTGCACTTCATTGTGAAAACTTCAGACCCAACAATTCTCAAACCCAAAAGACACTTTCTTATTTTAATGTGAGGGAATCCCCAGACACAGTAATGCCAAAACAAACTTGAGAGATTTACAAGGGGCTGCCCAGACACTGATCTTGTTCAATCAGCCAGGGTTAAATTGGTCATGTTCAGAGAATCATAGAATCCCTCCAGTGCAGAAAAAGGCCATTCAGCCCATTGGGTCTGCACCAACCACCCCATCCCCATAATCCCACATGGGATTTTGGTTTAAACCATGGCTAACCCATCTAACCTGCACACTCCAGGACACTATAGGGCAATTCTTAACATGGCCAATCCAACCTAACCTGCACATCTTTGGACTGTGGGAGGAAACCGGAGCATCCAGAGGAAACCCACGCAGACACGGGGAGAACATGCAAACTCCACACAGACAGTCGCCCGAGAGTGGAATCAAGTCTGGGTCACTGGTGCTGTGAGGCAGCAGTGCTAACCACTGAGGCACCACCCCTGTACTTATGGGTTCAGTGATTGTGGATCTTAGTGTGAACTCAAAGCAAATTAAAGACCTCTCTTGGTTTGTGAGACATGAAAAATAGCAGCTTACTGCTACCCTGCTGCACTTTCCATGCAGGCTTTGCAAATAGGTCAGTGGAAATCGGGAAGCATTCCTTACATACAAAGAGCAATGGGAACCTGGAACACTTTATCCCATTGACAACTGGATGACAGATCAAAATGAGAGATTGTGTGTGTCTGGTCAGTTAAGAGATTTGAAGCAAACTGCACAAAGTGAAGTTGAGACACAGGTCATGTGTATACTAACTAAAAGACAGAATCAGTCCCTCCTATTTGATGGTTAATCCTGTCATGTCCACATCTCAAATAGACTGAGGGATATCAAAGCTGCTGATGGCTCCATCGAGTATTTCCTTAGGTTAGAAAGCACTACATCAAGTCTGGTTTCAGCTTTGCAGCCTCCGATCATTATGATGGTCATGAGCAAATAAGCATGATGGAATCAGTTGGAATTTCCACGGTGACCATTATAAGTTTCTTGTCGATTAAACAGAAGCCAAAGGAAAGTCCTTTAACAAAGTCTCAGGAAGATGATCCCACCACCAGTACTATAGTAACTTGCTTTGAAAGTTCTCAGCTCACAGAGAGGTGGAAAAATGGAACATCTTACAACTAAAATCACTCACCTAAAACGGAAAAAAAAAATCAAAAGAACACTTTCCTATCCACCTGATAACAAAAACAAAAGTGATGCGCATTTATATAGCACCTTTTGCAACCTTAGGACATTTCAAAGTACTTTACAAACTGCTTTACTTTGCCCCTCCATTGTCCCATAGTACATTGCAGCCAGATAAGTAATTTTACAGTGTTGTCACTGTGATATCAGGATATACAGCACACAGCAGGCTCCCACAAATAGCAATGAAATCAACGAACAAATGATCTGATTTTTCCTCAGTGCTGGTTGAGAGGTAAATCTTGATTAGAACCTTGATTGGTTGATTGCCACTGTGTACTATTCACAGAGCTCACTTCTTTCACAGCACCTCTGAACCACAACAACCTAAAAGGACAAGGTTAGGAACTACACCACCAACCCACACAACATCCTGATTTGAAAAACAGGCAGCAACATCTTCAACTCATTGCTCCCAAACAGCACAGCAGCAACCATTATCACATAGTCAGGTCAACAACTCATCACCACCTCAAGTAGCATCTGCCAGGCCAGAAACATTTGCACTCTGGCCACTATTGTAATCTTATTTCAAATGTTGCACCTTAATGTCTTTGTCTGGTATGTGTTGATTTCAGTCAGACAGGACTGGTGAACTTTCTTTCTGGGTAGCACAGTGGCTCACAGCACCAGAGACCCGGGTTCGATTCCACCCTCGGGCAACTGTCTGTGTGGAGTTTGCACGTTCTCCCCGTGTCTGCGTGGGTTTCCTCCAGGTCCTCCGGTTTCCTCCCACAGTCCAAAGATGTGCAGGTTAGGTGGATTGGCCATGCTAAATTGCCTTGTAGAATATTACTTACGTATATAACCCCGGTCAGAAACGGTGCCCCTGGGTAGTGAAAATGTTAAGGATGGGTGAGTGAAAAGCCATCAATTCAGTGCAACAGACATCACTGGGTGTGGAAAGGATGCACTTTAACTTCTCAGGCCCAAGCCTCAAAGGCCATTTCCCCACAGCACTTCCTGGAGATTTATCCCCTGAGTCAGCAGCATTGAGGCATCACTTTTTTATTGGGGTTATCAGGACACTGAAAAGTTAACAGATCAAGTTTTACAAAAAAATAATTCCCCCAAAAATTCAACATTTCAAATGCACACAAGGAATAATTAACAAATAAAATCACAGTGGGCAAGAGCTCTACCTGGAGACATTGCACTCATTTAACAAAAACACACACACACCTCAGATCACATTCAATTATCTTTTTTGAGCAAACTAGTGTGGGCTCTAAAAAAAAAATCACACTTTCTGCACTACCCCAGTCTCATGGTCTTCACCAACCCATTGCACTCAAAGAATTCTGCTCAGAACTTTCCTTCAGGGATAAAGATAATGTTTTGGAAACACAGCATTGGTCTAATTTTCTCAATTTCAATCCCACCGTTAGTCACCCCAGGGGCTGATAAGAAACAGGACTGGAAGGCGGCATCAATTTTGAACCAAAGGCTGATGTTCTTAAATAGACAGGATGTGGGAGATCCTCCCAATTCCTCAGGACTTCCTCTGAGAACAGCACTCACACATGGTCTGCAACAATACAGGCTAACAGCAATGTATCAGCTTCTCTCAGCAATCTGTAGTCAGTTTGAGACAAGCTTGGTGGCTCTCCACCCATAGAGATCCTTTCACATTCTCTGAAAAAAAAACAGCATTTCAAATGAAGCAGTTTTACAGGATGGCTGTGGGGCAGTTGGGAAATAACTGTCTGAACATATCCAGACAGACACAATTCCTGTTTTTCAGTTACTTCTTTAGAGAATCCTAATTCTCATTCCTATTTATCATAGCAGTTGCCTTTGGAAGCATGTCACAACATGATATTATCTTCCTGCCAATGGAGACACTGCAATGCCTCTACTGGTGCGAGGGTGTAATTACAATGTGACATGTTTACATAGGTGGTTCCCATTGTAATAAATAATGTGGGAATTTTAAAACAGAAAATCAATCAATATTTCCTGATCAGGGAGTTGAACTGTCTAATCAACAGATTCAGTTTCACTTGCTAGGTTGAGGTGTTGAGCTCTGTGGCCGTTATATGAAGTCAATGATTACAAAGACCATCCTCGAGATCACAACCCAAAGTGCTGCATGTACCTTCCTAGTATTTGCTCTTCACATTCTAAAAACACAAAGATATCAATTTCATATTCATCTGTCTAACAGTAAGAAAACAATTTTGTAGCCATCTCGATACGCTTTGAAGATTACGACATTGTACATACTTTCCCCTTGGAATTGAACCACATGGATTCAGTTTGGCTTGTATAGGCCTCCATCATAAAGGCTGCTCTTAAACCTTCTCATTTTCCCTCTGATAACTACACTGCTGTGATTAAACCCAGGCAAATCACCCAATTTACTGAGTTGTGAGAAACCAAAAACTGGGAACAGAAAGCGCAGGAGGGAGTGTGGATATGGGGCAATGTTATGGGACAAAGAACGAGGGCACAAATCAGTAAACTGTCTGAGTCAGCAGAGGGCTCGGACCGCGTCAGAGGGAAGCTGGGCAGGGTGGATCTCTCTCTCTCTCTCTCTCACACACACAGACACACAAACACACAGACACACAAACACACACGTTGAATATGCAGTCTCAAACTATCAACCACAGGGATTTCACCTTTCTCGATCCAGTTGAGAAATGATGGCTGCACCTCATAATCTCTGTGTTCCTAGGGACTCTAAGCACCATCTGACCCACGTGATACTGAAAGCAGAATCAGGCCTGTGTACAGCAGCAACACGTAAGCGTACAAGAGCCAGAGAGTGCCGAGGGGAATGTGACTCCTCAAGGTTTCTGAGTCAGGACATGCAGATCCATTTGCAGTTCCCTTGCTATCAAAACAGACTCTTGTGCCAATGATTTACCGACACAATCAGACAGAAAGTCAAATTGAGGACTACCAGTTGCTCCCTAAAGGAAAAGAACAGCTCCTTCCACCCTCGTCACAAAATCGAATTCATTTTATCTCAAGTCACATGTAGACCAGCAGCAGGCATGTGAAACAAACAAGGGCTTCTTCAATTTACTCCTCTATCCATCGTGAGGAGTGAAGGACAGTCTCCCACTCAAGGTCAGCTACATTCACTAAGCCCTATTTGGTGAGGTATATTGGATTTGAAATCAAATGGTCAAGGCTAAAGGGAACTGTAGGGTTAACCCGCTTTACAGGATAAGTGGGTTTAGATTCCCATAAACTCTGTGTTTACCTCAGGTACCACATCTTTAAAGGTTTCAGATGATTACCCACCGCTGCAGACATAAAGGAAGGGGTCAGGGTGTCTGGTTTAAACACTAGGGGAGCCAAGAGTTAGACAAAGCAACTTATAGCATGAAACAGCAAATAGTCGACGATTGATTGCTGTTTAAACAGAAACTGGGCTAAACAGAGCAGTTAACATTCAGTGAACCCTTCAAAATCATTAGATCATTGGTGCAATCATCTGTTGGACCCAGAGAACACAGTGCAAAGGTGTTTGTCCCTGAAGCTGGAATATGTGTGTGTGTCCAATATTTAGTGTTTGATAGGGGAGTAAGGGAATGTTCACAAATACATTTGGAAAACCAGGCTGATGGATCAAAGTCCTTGCTATAGACCAGACACTCTCAGGAAAATAATGCCAGGTGACAGACACTATGCCTCATTTGACCTGGTGCTAATGCTATCTGTATCCTTTCACCAGTCCACATATCGAATATCATGTCACCCCATTCTCTCTCTCGCTCTCTCTCTTTCACACACATGAGCGTAGTTCCCAAAACCATTAACAGAATGCGAGGCAAGAGACACTTGTTCACAGTTCTGGCAGCAGCTGCAGTTCTGCTGTAATACGTTGCACGGGACAAGGTGCATTCCTGGATGGACTTGACTGAGTTGCATCATCTCGAGTCACGATGCAACTTCTTGGTGAGTGATGTACATTTCAAACAGCAGATGGACAGGTCGTAGTCTGAGTGCAGGGAAACCCAATCAAAGGGGCTCTGGCCAAGGGACAGAATGAGTTGGAAACAAAAGAAAGAGTGTGGACCACATCCTTTTTTCAAGCAGCACAATGCTATTTGAGCTAGCTCACAGTGATTTCTACCTTGCTGTACCACCAATCCATTCACATTGTTATAGCCTGCCTTCAAACTCCTTCAGCATGCTGTCAATCTCAGGCGCTGTGTTCACTTCCTCTGATGTTTTGCTCACTGCTCCAGGTGTAAAGGCACTCAAGTCCACAAACATCTTGGGGATGTCCTTCCCGAAGTAGATTTTGCTGTTGGAAGCAATTGCTCGATATTTCAGAAGCTGCAGATATTCAGGGCTCAGCTTCAGCTGCAAGGGTGCAAAAATGTGAGATGGGGCTTGGTCAGCAAATTGAAACGAACACATCAGATGAAAAGGTGGCACTTACAAGAAAGACCACAGATTCCTACAGCACCTCTCACATGCTTGGAATTTGCCAAACGCTACACTAATTTTTGAAACGGTCTGAAATGGATTGATCTGGTCCAAGGTTACTGTAGCTCTTGAGACGATTTGAAAAAAGGTACCAATGGAAGAATTGAAACATGAGCGATATATATTTGAATGTGGGTGTTGCCAGGGTCAGAATGGTCTGGCTACGGGGAGAGGCTGAAAAGCCTGGGGCTATTTTCTCTGGAACGTCAGAGGCTGAGGGGGGACCTTACAGAAGTTTATAAAATCATGAGGGGCATGGATAGGATGCATAGCAGAGGGGAGTCCAAAATTAGAGGGCATAGGTTTAATGTGAGAGGGGCAACATTTAAAAGGGACCTGAGGGGCAACTTTTTCACGCAGATGGTGATGAGTATACGCAATGAGCTGCCAGAGGAAGTGGAGGAGGCTGGTGCAATTACAACATTTAAACGGCATCTGGGTGGATATATGAATAGGAAGGGTTTAGAGGGATATGGGCCAAATGCTGGCAAATGGGACTGGATTAATTTAGGATACCTGGTCGGCACGGACAAGTTGGACTGAAGGGCCTGTTTCTGTGCTGTACAGATCTAGGACTCCATGATGAATTGAGAAGGCTACAGAGATAGGGCTGGACAATAGGACTAGTTGGGTAGCTCTTTCAGAGCTGGTACAGACACGATGGGTCGAATAGCCTCCTCTTTAACATTCTATGATTATGTAAACTTGGGCAGGTTCTCATTGGAGCAGGGACAGCACATTGAGAAAGGGAAAAACTGAGAAGCAAGAACCTTACTAATTTTAATTTCTCTGGGGAGCGATGGCCTGGTGGTGTTATTGCTTGACTATTAACCCAGAGACCCAGGTCATGTTCTGGGGACCCGAATTTAACTCCCACCATGGCAGATGGTTGGTTTTGGATACAAAAAAAAAATCTGGAATTACAAATCTAAGTATGACCATGAAACCATTGTTGATTATCAGAGAAATCCATCTGGTTCACTAATGTCCTTTAGGGAAGGAAACTGCCATCCTTATCTGGTCTGGCCTACAGACTCACAGACTCCAGACCCACAGCAATGTGGTTGCCTCTGGGCAATTAGGGATGGCCAATAAATGTTGGCCTAGACAGTGAGACTCACCATCTCATGTCAAGCATGATAGCCCAGCTCACAATCTCTAACACATTAGACTGCAGCTGAGGATTACATTCAAACCTAGCCTGCAGAAACATCTATCCAGTCGTCAGTCCACCGTGCCCAATCCTGGTGAAGTAACAGCGCAACCTGGCACTGACTCAAGTGTAAACTCTACTGTAATTTTCTTCAAAAAACAAGTACATTGAGGGATCTGTTTTGGGCATAATTTTGGATATGATGTCTGGAGTGTCATAGGAGGAACAGGTGCTTTTTAATCTCTGGCTACCAGAACTCCCCTCTGACCTTAAGGAGTTACTTTGTCACACAGCCTGCTCCACTGCCATTGAAACAAACAAAAGACAAAGTGCTGAAGCAGCTCAGCAGGTCTGACCGCACCCGTGAAAGCAGAAGCAGAGTAAACATTACAAATCCAGAATGATTCTACTTCCAAGCTCAAAGTTAATTCTGTTCCTCTGCATGGACGCTGTCTGACCTGCTGTGCATCTACAGTATATTGTGTTTATTCCATTGAGATTGACCCTGGGGCTGGAAGTATCTCTTACCCGGTTGGCTTCAGCCACTTGCTGGGCCGTGTAGAAATCAGCGTCTGCTCGAGCCTTCTCCCGTGCAACAAAGATACCATCTGTCAGAGAGAGAGGGGTTAGCACGTTGCCATTAGGTTCAGTTTGTCCCTATATCTTCTCATGTCATTGATCTCGTCTGATAACAGCTCTTAGCAATCACACTCAAATGTACAGCCCTCTCTCTCTCTCTCTCTCTCTCTCCAAGCCCCTGTGCCATGGCCCTTCAGGAGTACAGTCTGGAAGGGGGATGGCGGGGGTGGGGGGGGGGGGGGGGAGGGGGGGGGGGGGTGAGGGGTGGGGGCGTGCGAAGAAGGAGGAGGAGGCAGCACACAGAACCCTATATTTGAAACCGTGTTTCTGCACTGGCACTGACTTCAAGTCACTGAGGGATTAGCAGCTCAACTCATTTACTCAGTTCTGAAGAACTGGACTCAAAACGTTAATGCTGCCCTCTCTCCACAGATGCTGCTAGACCTGCTGAGTTTCTCGGGCCCGGGACAGTGAGGGAACCGCTCACAGGTCTCATGTACCAACTATGAGAATTATAGAGTTCAGAAGATGTGACGCCTCCACAGGTGACAATCTGCTCGATAGGATATCGGATCATTGAGGAGACGTGGTTCATTGGGTGAGATGACTGCAGGAGGAGCTACTTGCACTGTGACTGATTGCATTCAGGAAACTCTCACCTTCAATCTCGGAGATCCTCTTCTCCGTTTCCTTCTCCATTATCATCTGGGCAAATTTAATCTCAGCCACTTGAGCTACCTTCTCTGCCTCTGCAAAACAAAAACCCAGGCTCGACATTATAACCCAGTGATGAGCTCCTGACAGAAATAATTAAACCTGCACACTTACAGCAGCGATAATGGTTCAGGTAGAACACACTCAGTAGGTACACGACATGGAGACAGTAAAACCAAGCCGGTGCCTCAGAATTAAGATGGGACAGTAAGAACAATAGGACGTTGGAAATTGAAATGGAAGTAAAAAAGAACACTTTTACAGGTCATGGGAAATGAAATGTTAACTCTGATTAAAGCATATTGCTAAGTTAGCCATCAAGCCAAGTTTTCCTCGTGATGGAGTTCACAGAGTGGTTAGTAAGACAGCTCCAAGTCCACCCCTCAGCTCCCCGGCCACCAACCCCCATATTTAAACACATTAAAACACAATTCCACAGCATCACATCCTGAGGTGGGACCTGAACTCAGACCTTCTGACCCGGGGTTTGGGACACTACCACTGCACCACATGTCCCCATCCTCTCTTTACACCACTCGTTCATCAATTCACTACCCTACTCACAACAAACAAAACAGCAGAACAGACGGGAGAGTTCGGGAACAGGGGGATGGGGTTCAACGGGACAGTTCGGGAACAGGGGGATGGGGTTCAACGGGACAGTTCGGGAACAGGGGGATGGGGTTCAGTGGGAGAGTTCGGGAACAGGGGGACGGGGTTCAACTGGACTGTTCCGGAACAGGGTGACGGGGTTCAACGGAACAGTTCCGGAACAGGGGGACAGGGTTCGGGGGACAGTTTGGGAACAGAGGGACGGGATTCAACGGGACAGTTCAGGAACAGGGGGATGGAGTTCAGGGGGAGAGTTCGGGAACAGGGGGATGGAGTTCAGTGGGAGAGTTCGGG